AAAAAAAAACATACATTTCTCGCAATTTTCAGGCATTCTCTCAGTTGTACCTTGTATAATAATATATTGCATTAATTGGGCATGTGTTAGATATCACTGAGTTTAACAGGAAAGCAGAGAATCCTTTTCAGCTGAGATTCATTTAATTGACTGTAAAGGAAATAGAAATAAAAACAAATGAAATAGTGGAGAAGAATTTAAAGTCGGTAGAGGCGTTTCGGGCAACTTAGAAAATCTTTCGCAGTATATCAGCGAGCAGAGTAATAAACGTATTTTACAAGCAAAAGACTAAAAATTTTCACCTCTATGCATCAACATCGGAATGTTTTGATAATCAACCAGAAACACGATTGTAACACATCAGCATCGCCATGGACGGAAAGAAAAGAAATTGCGCCAATTTAATGGACACCTTCAACGCAGAAGTAAAGACAAGGTGAACAATAAAATATAGATTGGGAAAATATGTGATACAGAAGAGAAATTGAAAAGGGGTAATTTTAATTGCCCTCTCGGAAAGACACAAAATAATAATTATGAATATCTTTTTAAATATAGCACGCCGTAAATGGACATGGAAATGCACTAATGGAAATGCGAAAAATGCAATTTCCTTCATAATTGCTGGTAAACCATTGTCGGTAAAGATAAAACCATTTGAAAAAAAAATTAATACAGAAAGTGATCTTAGAATAATATATTGTAAAGTCAAATTTAAATTCGATATTGAGAGAACCAATATTATTTTCAGAAAGAAACATATCCTGAGGTCTTAGAGGAAATTACCGAAATCCACTTAGATATTCAAGAAGAGATTCTAGGTTTTCTTTAAAGACAACAATAATTTAGAATATAACTATTACAAACTATTAACTGCAATTGAGGAAAAGCAGAGTTAAGAAGAACTGAAACCAAAATGTCAGGAATAATCCAACATACCGGCTAACGATAGTGTTGTTTCTGAATAAAAAACAGATTGGATAATTTTAAGGCTTAGAAATACTAAATGCATAATAAATAAGGAGAAACGGCCTAGTAATAGATGTTTTCAATGTCGAAGAAGAGAAACATCAGAAAACCACATACACTGTGTATAAAGAAAAAGGAAAATTATCTTAAACGTTTAGAACGTTAATTTAAATCTACTTGATAAAAAAAGGAATTACCTTTGTTTTGGATGCCAAGATGAAAACAGCACCCGCGGACGGGCAGGTCTCATGGAATTTCTACACAATAATAAACAATCTACAAACCAGTGACCAAATGATCGATAAAACCATAGAGGATAAAGAAACGCTTTGACACGGAAATATCACACAGCAATATTTATTTCTCGATAAGAGAGTAGGATATTAACTAAAACTATATTAAATTTACAGAAAATATACATAATAGCAGTGGTAATGAAAATTGTAATATTAACTGTTTATGAGGAAACATTCGTCATTCATTGACAAAAATATCCAATGCTACTGTCGGTTGAAGTTTATTGTCTTCTCAAGGCAAGTACCGTTTATCTGTTTTCCGCTATTGATGGGGGAGAGATACCTAACATATTGTTTGAAGTAGTGTGGAAGGTCAACTTCTTGTGTATGTGATTATTATCATATCGTTAAATGCGCTATCTGAGGTTGCCATTGTTAAAATTCCTCAGGTGATGATATTTCTTTTACTTGGCATAATTTTTTGTTAGCGATTCTGAAGTGACAGTTTATATGATTCGACGAAGAATGGCTCTCACTAAAACCTATATTCGCAGGAAGAAATGTTTAACCGTTAACATAATTCTTTGTTAGCGATTCTGTCGTGAAGTTTATATGATTCGACGAAGAATGGCTACAGGCTTCATTTGCACGAAGAAATGTTTAGCCATCGATCTGAGAAAACGGTTGTATACAGCTGCTAGTTTAAACATGATACGGCAGAAATATCTCCCACGCTTTAAAAGTCGACAGAAAGAGCAAGGTAATTGCTGTTATATAGATTATTTCACTGTTATTTAAATCAATGACTACAATGTTTATCACTTTCATTTTTACAATAACCTGTATTTATTCGCCATACTCTGTCGTAGACCTTTTGTTGAGCCTGGACATTATCTAGAATTCGAGCGCTACCAGTTCTTCCCGGTGGCTTTCTTTTAATCGCTGAATCTGTGTCTCTGACATATTTAAACCATATTAGCATCGAATTTCTATCCGGAAGAGCATCGTTCAAACGTATCACGAAATGCTCCCTGTGTTGCAAAAACAGATTTACCAGTCTTTTAAAAAAAAAGGTTTAAACAGTACACGCACGGTGTGCATTAGTCCAAGCCATCATGTTAACAAATGGTATCTGTAAAATTGGTAAGATATTAACTGCATTAAGACTCCGTTGTCAGTTGCCGAAATTCACAAGCACCACAGAGTTGAAAGTTCAAATTGCAAGATATATTTCAGTCGCACGTTGAATATTTGAGAATACGTATTAGACCATGCATGTCAACCACATGAATGTCTCGATCAGACGAGATCTTTAAGAAAATGAATGGATTTCTTATGTACAAATTTGGGAATTTTAGCAATTTGAAGTGTTCAGCGAAACTACACATAACACAGCCATGTTCAATTTCTTTATCGCCAATACCAAATAAAGACTGGATACATGGCCCAGTGGATAACGGCGTTAGTTAGATCCAGTGACAGGACCCAAAGAGCGTGAGTTCAATACCTGGTTAAGGCGGTGGAAAATTTTGAGAAGGGACTCAACAGGAGATAACTGATAACTGACATCCATTAAACATGGCACGTGGAAATATAACTGTCTACCCCAGTGAGAGAAATAAAGAGTTCAGTACATTCCAACCACTTGAAGAAGGCCGGAGAATACAACGGCCGAAACGTTGTAATAAATATGGCGACAAAGATGAGGACAATAGTCCGGATAATGTAAATAGTTTACTGGAAAAGAAGTAAAGCAAATGGATACACTTTACTTAATATATTTATACCAGTCTTGAAAAATGAACGTTTCGGAATAATGTTTTCAAACATAAAGAGATAATATTGGAATAATTTACGATTTGTCGACGACATTTTTCTCTTATTGGGTTAGAAACAAAGTTCTCGCACAATGTCTTAAAGGCTAGTAATAACACTGCGCGAGAATTTTGTTGCCAATTCAATATCTCTCTATTTGTAGGAATCAACAGAATGATAAATAAAATAAGGTACCAATGTACCTTAACCTGCCAAAAGACTGTTGAGTACATACCATATCATATATGACACCGTGTAATCTGGTGAATTGCAGCAATACAGTGTGTCATCAATATCTCTGAAGGGATCTTAAGCTTTACCATTCCAATATCTGTCTTCAGCTCCCTGATATTTATGAGTACAGAAACTTGCTTGAAAGTACGTCTCTCCACCACGAGGCCAGACGAAATTTGTAATCTCTCTATTTATCGGATATCTCTATTTATCGCCAGTATTCATCACAAACCAATTATGAACAACTTGTGTCCGTTGCAACGGACCATAATCCTGTTTGAATAATCCATTGTTGTTAGGTTGTCTAGGGTTTATATGTCAGTACAAATGGTCAAGAAGCATAATGGTTACCGCTCAAAAACTGTTTAAGTTGACCAGCGGGCTCTACTTATACCATTTGAAGACACTCCATTCCATAGCCTGTTCAGTGGCTTATTGATATCTGGCGTCCATACCTTCACGGAGTCTTCCTAATACCTAAATCCTACAGCCTGTCCAAAACAGCTGAAGCCGTGACACATCAAACCACTCCACATTTTGCCAGTTTGCCAGGGCCCTATTTGCCTTGTCACAGGCGCAGAGTAGACTCTTTCCCCAGTGCTCTGTTATTAATAGAAGCACTAGTGGATCTTTGGCGCCATAATCCCATGCAACATGCAGAACGTTGAACTAACCTGCTAGGTATGTTACTGGTATCGCGCGCATTGAATTTGGATTAAATTTGGGATGGTTTCGATTGCATGTTAACAATATATCTGCGCATTGAATTTGGATTAAATTTGGGATGGTTTCGATTGCATGTTATCGCAGACAATATATCTGCGCATTGAATTTGGATTAAATTTGGGATGGTTTCGATTGCATGTTATCGCAGACAATATATCTGCGCATTGAATTTGGATTAAACGCCTCTGGACAATATATCTGCGCATTGAATTTGGATTAAATTTGGGATGGTTTCGATTGCATGTTATCGCAGACAATATATCTGCGCATTGAATTTGGATTAAATTTGGGATGGTTTCGATTGCATGTTAAGTCTGGTTTTTGGATTAAATTTGGGATTTTCATCATGTTATCGCAACAATCCCATTGAATTTGTTAAATTTGGGATGGTTTTCGATTGCCGTTAAATCTGCGGGTTGTTAAAATTTCCGCATTAATTTCATTAAATTTGGGATGGTTTCGAATATCGCAGACAATATATCTGCGCATTGAATTTGGAACATTATCCAGACAATATATCTGTTTTTGGAGATGGTTTCGATTGCATGTTATCGCAGACAATTCTAAACAAACGCCTCTGGTCACGATAATTATGGGCAATAGAAGGCCACTACGCTAAGTCTGGTTTAATGATTTTCATCAGGCAATCCCGGTACATACGTGACACCGTAAATCGAGGGTTGTTAAATTTCCCATTAATTTCAAAGATGGTATACCCCATCAGTCTGGCACCCAACATTATCCCGTTTAGAACGTCATATTCACGTTACAACTGGTTTTTCCTCTTTTAGTTGGTTGTTATTCAATATTCAATACCTAAATCTAAATATATTTTTATTTTTTTTGTCATATAATGATGGTTTTAGTAATTAATATTAATTAACCCATGTCTGGGGAGAGAATAGGTGGATGCATACCTTTCAATGGTAAGTGAATATAACGAACCCAACAGAAATTGGAACTCATCTCTATGACTAAATGGTGTGATCCGGTATCTATTGCACCAAACGCACATCCAAGATTGCGGCACCTGGTATTCCCAACCTGTCACCCACGTTGTTATTGACAAAGCTTGACGTTGCTTAACTTCAGTGATTATATGGAAACGGGCGTTTCAACCTGATATGGCCGTATGTTAGCTTATCAGATGTTATATACATATATATATATAATATATATATATATATATATATATATATATATATATATATATATATTATATATACGTCCTATAATTAATTCACATATATATATATATATAATGAGTTTTAGGACGTCCTACAATTAACTTCACCAATGAGTTTTAGTTTACCAATGAATTTGAACAAAACTAATATCTGTTGAAACTTGACTAATGCATGGAATAATAATGCAACACAAAATGTACTTAGAACAAAATGTATTGAAACAAGAAAGGTACACAATATTTACATATAGTCTTTTGTATATTCCTGGTAAGACCGTTCCTGGAGAATGTGTTTACTGAGTCGCAGTCGGACAGAGTCTCTGGTTGAATCTCTTGATTCCTTCCTCTCTTCCCGGTACCAACCATATTTATATGGTCGGTACTCCACTATGCAAATTGGGTGGATCCTACCGCAACAATATCTAAATTAAACCATTCACAAAACGAACATGAAGAATAATGAAGAAATCTAAGAAAATATATATTTAGGGCGGCAACTAATATTAAATAAAAAAACGAAAATGTAACTTGCTTGAAAGTTATGACGAAGACCATTTATATGATGCCAACATTGAGAACTTTATTAGAACGTAAAGTATATCATGTTGATATATTTTACAGGTCACATATATATATATATATATATATATATATGTGTGTGTGTGTGTGTGTGTGTGTGTGTGTGTGTGTGTGTGAATTATAGATATTAACAACACCATTCGATAGCACATTATAGAAGTAATTTCACACAGACGATTTCTATAGAAGTTAAAAGGATTTCAAGTAGGCGCTCTATTTCAGTCACCTTTTGTCAGACTAAACTGAGTCTACAAAATATTTTTTAACTGCTTTGGACTACGAAATTCCCGATGGCAATGATAATTGATATGGGAAGCAACCCTTTAAAAAAATTACCAATCGTATGCAAAGGCGAAATGTCAGTTAGATGTCTAAATGTCAATCACTTTTTGCAAGAATTACATCGAACTAAATCACATGATGCCCACTATCCCTTATATGGGGGACATTGAACAGTAATGGGCTATAGGTAATTAATACAGGATTTTTTTTATAAAGCTATAGATTGTACCGGATGTTTTGAAACTTCAAATTAATGCCGAATAGTTATTTTTTTTTTATTTTTATGATTAATACCAGTTTAGTGCTGTGCATTAATAGGTTAATTAAAATCTTGAAGATATTATTTTAATAACATTTCCTTGACGTGTATTCTTTCTGTATGAGAAAATATTTATTTTTGCATTTTTCTTTTCAAACATTGATAATTTATTAAATTTAATCATGAGGTCTATCACAGTGGTTTATGTTAAATTGTATGTAAACTGCGCTTTCTGTTTTTGGGTATGTCCAGTCTAAAAAAAACTCAAAGCTGTAAATTCCATAACGTAGCGAAAGCAATGGTAAAAACTCTACTATCTTTCCCAAGAATCCATAGCAATTCACAGATTATAATGGAAAGTCATAAGTCGAGAATCATGATCGATTCTGTATTTATCATTTTATTTTTATTCAAAATTCTCCGAATTTCTGGAAAAATGTGTTTTATTTGTCATATATGCTTCACTTTCAACTAGTTTCTGTCTCTCTGAATGTATATGAGATGATTTTTCACCACTATGATCCTATGAGTTAACAAAAACAAGAGTCCCCATCTACATTCTCAGAATTTCAACGGATGCCAAATTTACCTGACGAAGTAAGAAATTAAATCAGCTGAAACGTTGTGATAAATAATACCAATATTATTACACTAATTTGCAAATAGTTTCGGTGCCTTGGAAGTTTGAAACGATTTATCCTTCACTATAATTGTAAAAAAAAAAAAACAATTTTCTACTCTCGAAAATTTGGGCGAATCCCACAGTCACCTGATGATGTTCGAAGATACAGAGAACAACGATATTTGAAGATTAATCGGATAGATTAAATGTACACATTTTATGCATTTATTGGTATTATAGTGTTACAACGTTTTTTCTTGTCTTTTCTCTTTACTTTTACTTCCTTATTTTTTTCTCTTTCTTTCCTTCTTTCTTTTTCTTACTTTCTTTCCTGCTTCCTTTCTTGAAACAATTCTTTCTTTTCTAATTTCACTACAGTGAATCATTCCGAAATAAGGCTGCGTGTTTTCTTTTTTGTTATTTTTTTGTGAATTTTCATATTCAGTTTTTCATTACACCACTCATTTTTTAAAAACTTTTTTTAGCCTTCATTTATTTAATTCTACTTCTAAACGTTTTGCTTAGAGATTTGCATCACGTTTTTTTCCTATCATGTCACTTTATTTTACACAATTATTACGTTCTCTTTTCATCTTAATCAATATAAAAAGAATTCAGTCGTAGACGAAGCCTAGAGGATAATCTAATTACATCATATCCGACAATAAAGGTTAACATAGAAGTGGCTGTTTAAGTTGCGCATGCGCCCCAGAACATCAGTACGCTTTACCTCTGTCATTTCCTTTCCTCCCCTTTTTATTTTCCAAAATCAGTACCATTCATCTAACACTATGGCATTTAGCAATACCTGCCTGTTCACGTCAGTAAAGTATTAAAAATTAATCCAATTCTAAATTTATTTCATTTTGTATTAAAATATTAAAAATATATAACTTTAAATATAAATATAAAAATGAACATTGAAGTCAACACTCAGAGGCGAAAGGCTGTTCATGCTAGACGCAAATGTCAGGCCGCCTGGTGAATAATAATTCACTTCTTAGAACAAAATTAAATAGGGCAAATATTATTTACGAATTTAAATGCCCATTGTATTCCTGATCAATCAAATTGCGTGAATAATTATATAGCCCACACTACAACATGTTTAACACGCAGACTAACTCTACACCTCTCTGACAATCGCTCAATTAGATCTCATTTAAATATTCATGGAGACATACCGGACTATTCGTAACATACTTGTCAACAACTCTAATATAATACCATCATCCACATGCAAAACAAGGCTAAACATAATGGAAGCCTTATTAATAAAAACAAACAAACCAACACCAACACTTAATAATATTAACTTTGAACATGGACATAATATCTTGACCGTGTTTTGAAACAAAAAAATGAAAACATTTTATAAAACATGCATACAACAAACTATTTTTAATTTTAACAGTTAAAATATAATCCTTGAAAATGGCTAAATATATAGCCGAAAGCGCTCGGATAAAAAAAATCGGACAATTTTTATATACTTTATCATCCGAAAAGAAAAAAAAATTAGATCACATGAGAAATTGTATAAAAAACTAAATAAAAGCACCTTGTCTGTCGTTTTTAATGAAATGTATATGAAAGAAGGATTTCTGTCTAAATACCCAAATATATATATATATATATATATATATATATATATATATATATATATATATATTAATATAGTCTTAAGGCGTGCTATCTTTATGGGATAAAGTGCTCCATGTCATAGATATAGCGTGTGTAAATATAAAAGTGAACATTGAAGTCAACACTCTGAGGCGACAAACTGTTTCATGCTAGACACAATCGTCAGGCCACGTCGTGACCTGACAATTGCGTCTAGCATGAAACACACTGTCTACTCTAAGTGTTCCTCACTGTTCACTTATATATATATATATATATATATATATATATATATATATATCTGTAATCAGTGGCTCACTGCGGGTCATGTTTTCCATGACTACCATAAGCCTAGTAAATTATTTGCTTTCTCACAAATTTTGACAGATGTACAGAAGTTTCCATTATTTCATTACAATCTCTATGAATTGTAGAACTTCAATTAAGTGAATCCAAATCTATTGTTGGAGACAAAGATGTCTTCAAACTTAATTACTTTTCAAAATGCACAACACAAAATTTTACTTAATTTGTCAAACGCAAATTGGAACCAATTATTCGTTTTACTCTTTGAGATTTATTCTTTCAAACGACTGGAAATTCGGCACTTAAGTTGTCGAATAGGCGTTTAGTAAGAGAGAAGTTCTAAAAGCGAATTAGAATTCCCCTGCTGACAGTGTGAGATATGATTTGCAAGTAGCAGAGCGTTTAGCCGCATAGTTAAATATTTTATGTAATTATATTTCGGGTTCAAACAATTATATATCTCTGTTTGGTCGCATGTTACAGTTTTTTAGAAAGAAGAAAATATATTCTTTTATCCGACAGCGCGTAATTCGTTTTGGCAAGTCAATAGGATTTTTTCTTTCTTTTTTAATATATTTAGGATCGGTCAATGTCAGTTTAGTCAAATGCACTTAATTGTCGAGCAACGGATGGAAAGACAAGAAGACGCCATGTTAGGCCGGATCCTGTTTGCTGTAGATCTATATATCGAATACGAAGAGTGAGAAAATCAAGGTATTCAGAGTTTAGGAGATTGAGAGAAACGATTTGAAAGCCATTTCCTGTTTCAAGGAATTGGGGCTCTGTGTATTATCTCAATTCAGCATGATTTTTTTTCATTAAGAAAAATCTGGAAAATTACCCCAATTCTGAATTATTCTTTCCACCATGGAATTATTCTTGCCATAACTTTTTCTTTTAGTTATCAACTACACCAAGAGGTTTGGAATCTATCGATATTAAGTAACTCACTGTCGAAACTCCTAAATGTAGCCGTCTCTTCTACACCAATAGCTTCATGTCTCGCACCACTCGCCCGTGGGACTCCCTTCCTTATTCCAGTTTCCCTGAGAGCCATAATCTCCAGCTATTCAAATGCAATGTCAATCGACATCTCCAGTTGCATTGATCTATCCACTACCCTTCTCATCATCCTTTCTTCTATCACTCCTATCTGATCTTGCTCCAAATTTTCTGTAACCCCTTGCGTCCTAGTGGCTTCCCGCCTTGCTTGGGGTGAAACGCTTAAAAAAAAAACAAAAAAACTACAGTGACGTCTAAATAATTTGTACCGTTC